CCCCCCCCCCAGCCTCTCACTGTGGTGCCTGCGTTTTCTTTGTTCTGTTTCTGTCTCGGTGATGGTTTGGGAGTCCTGACGCTGAGTGTTGGGGACACCCGACGACACCCGAGGCATGAAGGCGGGGGAGCAGCTTTGAACGCGCAGCGACACAGCCTCGCCTTTTCAGGAATGCCGTGTGAGTTTCCACAGATGCACACGCACTGAGGAGAGGAAACAGCTTCCTGTTGGCGGCAGAGCAGCTGGTAACAGCCGCCTTCCAGATGGTCACCCTCTGCTGGCCCAGAGCCCAGCGGGCCGCACGGCCAGTGTCACTGAGGGAGTCTCAGTGCTGTGCCGGTTCTGGCCACATGGACGACCGCCAGCCTGGGACACGCCGTGAACATGGGCCGAGGGACAGAAAGGAGGTGGCAGGAGAACCAGGGCAGGGCGAGGACAGGGCGGGTGCCGCAGGGCAGAGCCTGCGGCTGTGGGCAAGCTCAGGAGAGGGAGACCCGGGCACGGGACACAGAGCTACAGGGAGACCAACCACAGCACGCGGGGGAAGAGACACGTGGGCACGAACTCCAGAAAGAACCGGGGAGGGAGAGAGACAGAGAGCTAGACTGGGGGACAGAGAGAGACAGAGAGACAGAGACAGAAGAGACTGACACTGGAGGCGACCGTGGAGGGGAGCCTTCCGGAGCCGGACAGAGCAATCGAGGGGCAGCTGTGGTGAGGGGGTGTGTGTGGGGAAACCCTGACTGCCCAGTAAACTTACCCAACTGACAAGTGGGCTCCTCACCTTCCAGGTTTTGAAATTTGACTCCCGTGTTAAGACCAGGAGCAGGGGAGACAGGATTTGGGAATCTCTCCCCGCCCCGCCTTCCTTTCTTTTACACATTTCTAGAATGAGGGTGAAATGGAATTAAAAACATGATTGGAATGGAGTGGGTCCCGTCGCTGGGGACGAAAGGAAACATCCTGACAACGGGAAAGAGTTGAAATGACAGGAGCAGAGAGCACAGCGGGGGCCCCAGCTTAGGGAACTCAACACCTGCCCGACAGGTAACAGCCCTGGGAGGCTGGCTTCCCCTCCAAAAGCACGGAGCAGGAGAGCTGGTGCTCACCAGCCCGGCTCGGGATGGCCTAACAATAACAATAATGCAGGTAACGCCACCCGGCCTGGGCCCGGGGGTCTGGAGCCCCCGCTTGTTGAGAGGAAGACAGAAGGTCCCAGTGAGCCACCCACGCACAGCCTGCAGGTGGTGCCACCACTCCGTCTACCTGGGGCCCACCCGTGGGGAGGTCCAGGTGTTGCTGGGTGGCACACTGGTTCCCTACCTTGCCNGCTCCGTCTACCTGGGGCCCGCCCGTGGGGAGGTCCAGGTGTTGCTGGGTGGCACACTGGTTCCCCACCTTGCCCGCTTCGGTGGGGCTCTCCTCTGCTGGAGGAAGGAACTTTCTGGAAATGAAGACATTTCCTCAAAGCAATGGCCACAGTCAGGGCACAATTTGAAGTTTAATCTGCATTATTAACATTTATCTAGTTCTAAAGTCTGCACAACTGATGAAACAGTAAACCCAGGCCTGGCGTGTTTTCCAGCCTGGAATCCAGTCCGTCCTGGTGAGTGTCCGGCGTGCACACAAACACCAGGTCCTCCTGTCCGGATGGAGCTCTCTGCCAGTGTCAGTCGGACCGAGCTGTGTAGAGTCCTGTTCAAGCGTTTTACACCCTGGGGTTTCTGTCTGTCCCACGGATGTCGAGAGAAGGGAGTTGGAAGCTCCAGCCACAATTGTGGCCCCATCAGCTTCTGCTCCAAGTATTCTGAGCCTCGGTCACCTGCTATGTAAACTCCTAGGGTCCTTCCATCCCCTTTATCACTTTCAAATGCCCCCCTTTATCCCTGGCAGTATTAAGATGATGCTGGGTACCTGCTGTCCTGACGGTGATGTGAGGTTTCACTCTGGCATTGGGAATGGGGACCACTCCTGGCTGCCGGGGCTGTAGCCCACTTGTTTCTGGAGCTCTTTCAAGACCCAGGTGCTCACGGGTCTGCACTCACCTGAGACTCCAGGGGGAGCCAGTGCTCTTCTGCCCAGCTCTGTCCTCTCCGGGGCGCCTGCCTCAGTAGCCTGGAGGCCTCTGCGCTCCGCCTGGGTCATGTTCCCTGCACGCAGCCTGGGAACTGCCAGGCGTGGGCAGAGGAGCACTCGGGCTCGCTCGCGTCCCGTCTCGCAGGGACCGCTGGCCTTTGTGCCTGATGTTCGGTAATGTGAAAACGGCTGGTCCGCATTTTTTGAGTGGGTTTAAAACTGTATACAAGCTGTTCTGTAAACACCTACAGAGTATACCCATTGGGTCTTGTTAGTTACACTTCCACAGATGAGTAATTGGGCTCCCAACTCCGCTACACAAACAACTGGGCAGCCGGCAGCCAAGTGCGCTCCCCTGTGGGTGGGTGGGGACCGTCTGGGCTCCCCAGGAGCCGGCTGGGCCTCCCCTGCCGCAGAGAACTCCTGCCCCCTCAGGTCTCACCTGCACCTGGGGTCCCTCCCTGCTGATGTAAAGCGGCGTCTCCTTGTCGTTTTGCTTGTCTTGTTACGGGCGAGTTCGAGTGCCCTTCAGGTACCTGCCGAGCTTTGGGCTGCCCCTCTTTGACTCGCTGGTTTACAACATCTGTTCACTCCTCCAGCAGGTTTCCCCCTCTCCTTGGGAGTTCCTGGAGGTGTTGATACATTGTAGCCACTTGGTGTCAGACACTGTAAACATCTCTCCCTTCGCCTGCCTGTTACTGTTACCTTCATCTCTAAAGCATCAGCAAAAGTGTGTACGCCATCAGGTTGCTGTGAATTCAATGAGATGATCCAGCCCAGCCCGTGTGGCTTAGTGGTTGAGCGTCAACCCATGTACCAGGAGGCTGCTGGTTCAGTTCCCCGGTCAGGGCACAGGCCTGGGTTACCGCTCGATCCCCACCAGGGGGCGTGCAGGAGGCAGCCGGTAGATTTTGATGTTTCTCATTGACGTTTCTCTCTCCCTCTCCCTCTCCCTTCCTCTCTCTCTCTCTCTCTCTAAAATCAATAAAAACATTTTAAAAAATGAGATGATCCCTACAAAGCATGCAGAACAGTCCTCGGCACAGACCAAGCTCTCAATATGTTTTTATTGATTTTGAGAGAGAGAGAGAGAGGAAGGGAGAGGGAGAGAGAGAAACATTCATTGGTTGCCTACTGTACGCACCCCAACCGGGGATCGAACCCACAACCTGGGGATGTGCCCTGACCGGGAATCAAAGCAGTGACCTTTTGGTGTAGGGGACGGACGATTTCAACCGAGCCCCGCCGGCCAGGGCTTTTGCTGAAATTTAGACGCACATGTAGGACAGTCTCCGTCTGCCCTTCTGGCTCTACTCTCCACCTTTCTCTGTGCCCCAGGGCGCTGGTGTCCACAGACTGCACCCCTGGCTGGGTTCGTGGAGACACTGTTGGAGGTCAAGGGTGGGAGGGGAAAGGTTAGTTACTTCCCCAGGCCCCTCTCCACAGGCCTGTGTTTGGCAGTAACCTCAGGCTTCTGGAGGGGCCGCAGGTCCCCGGTTCCTGCTGCTTCTCTGTCCTTTCAAGGAGTGGTAGCAGCTTCCTGAAGGTAAAATTCCCCCTGTGCTTCACCGTGCTTTGTTCCATCACCTAACTCTGCCCTTCCTTTGTACATAGTCTGTGTATTGAAATCCCCCCAGTTATCTTCCTGAGCCTGCCATCTGTTTCTTGCTGGGACCCTGACTGATACAGTAATTGCCGCCAGAAGTGTCCCCAGAAAACACTCTCCAAATGGGAGTCTGGAATTGGGTTGCTCTACACTTGATGAGCATGTGAATAAAATCCTTGCTGGGGGGACGCCGAGCCTGCGGATCTGTGTCATGCAGTGCCGTCTCCGGCGGTGGCCCGGGGTGTGGTGCACTTGGAGGGCGGGGAGATGGAAGGTTGAGTGGCCGAGACACGCGGCTGCTTTGGCAAAAGGACAATTACACAGGTTATGCACTGGGTCGTCTACTTTGGAAGGCTCTGGAAAGCATACACGAAGGGAAAGGACAATTTGAGCCTCAGGTGTGTCCATGGCCTCCCCGACAGACGCCAGGAACAGACCTGTAACTCAGCAGGGTGGGATTATTGCTCATTGCAGCTCTGAGGACACGCTGTGGGGAAGCCCAGGGTGATTTAGTCAGAGGGCGTTAGAAAGGACCCCTGACAGGATTGGGGCTTTTGTCAGTGATTATGGGGTAGGTTTAAGGAAGCGGGGTCCTGCTCTGGACTGGATGTTGTCAGAAGCAGGGCTAAATCTATGATTAGGCTTTGTAAATTCTATTTTATTGTTTTAATCCTCAGCTGAGGAGTGAGGATATTTTTTTCCATTGATTTTAGAGAGAGTGGAAGGGAGCGGAGGAGAGAAACATCAGTGTGAGAGAGACACGTCTATTGGTTGCACCCCGCCCTGGGGAGGGGATCACACCTGCAACCCAGGAATGCACCCTTGACTGGGAATCCAACCTGAGCCCCTCCAGTGGACAGGCCGACGCTTTAACCACTGAGTCGCTGCTGGCCAGGGCTGATTAGCCTTCTTAATAATTCTTATCTGGAAGGAGGGAAGACTAGGGGCAGGCTTGAGCTGTAATTAAATTGATAAGCAGCAGCAGTCACTCCAGCCAGGGAGGGAGACGTGTGCCATTCGGCGTGGATGGTGTCACGTTCCGCCTGTGTTCACACATGATGACAGAGTGGTTGTGGTTCTGTCCCGCGGCACCGTGGCCAGAGCGCCCTGGTCCGATCTTGATGTTCTGTGAAACTGCTTACGTTCAACAGGAGAACGGCAGGCCCGGCTGAGAGCAGGCCTTTTCCCGGTCCTCTGACGGAGACCTGGGAGGAATCCCTCGCCCGGGGCAGCTCCGGGGCAGGCTCGGCTGAGGTGCGTGGCGGAGATTAAGGGGAACTCGGGACAAGTCGTGGAAGCAGAGAGCTGTGAGGATCAACTTGGGCCTCGTCGCAGATACGGGCAGATCCGGACATGGAGACGTCGCAGCCACAATTTCTGTTCATGTTGGTGATTTCCCCCGACGAGGGGCTGTTGGCAGGCAATGCCTCCATTCCTGCTGCTAAGCCTGGGGCAGTAGGCTTAGGGGAGGTCACCCGTGGAGGTGAGGCGGGGCACGGTGCTGTTCCTGCTACGCTGGAGCACCCATCGTCCCCCCTGGACCCCAGCCCACACTCATCTCTCCTTTAGCTTGACTCCCGATTTAAAAAATTTAAATATAAGTGCTCCTCCTGCCAGGTGATTTCGGGGCAAATCAAGGGTCTGAGGAAACATCTGCCTACTGCTGTCTGTTTTGTTCTCCCGCCCCCCACGCCACCCCCTCCTCCAGGAGCTGGCTCCCCTGCAGGAGGCTGACCGGTGACGTGGCCGGAGCAGGACCCTCGCTCTGCTGTGGGCGGCTCCAAGGTGGGGCGTTTCCTTCCTCAGACACTGGTGCTGCCCTCGGCCCAGCTTAGTGGCCTGGTGTCCCCTGACCAGTGGTCCTCGGTGGGGCCGGGGCTCCAGTGTCCCCAGCCTGGCAGCTCCTGGCCCCAGACCCAGCCAGGGGGCCCCCCTTCCTGGGGGCTTCCGGGCGAGGCACCCTCGGTCTGAGGGCTGTTCTTACCTAACAGGGTTTGCTGCCCAAAGGGCAAAGAAGCATTTTGGGCTTTTTTTTTTTTTTTNCTGTCAGGTCTGTCTCCCCATCTAGGGCTCGGGGCAGGCGGCCACGTCCCAACAGGGGGGCCTTGGCCCTTGGCCATTTACCGTGGACCCTCCGGGATATGGGACCCCGCTCTCCCCACGGGGTTTCGGAGTTCAAGCCCCCCCTCCCCCCGCGCGTGTCCGGCCTTCTGGCTCCCTGGGAGGGATGGGGCGGACTTTGGCCCTGGGTGCACCGGGAGGTCAAAGGCCCCTCTTCCGCTGGCTCAGCGGCTGAGCGTGGGCCCAGGACCAGGAGGTGACAGTGCGACCCCGGCCGGGGCGCAGCGGGGCGCCGTTGGATGCCCCGCGAGGGGCGCGGGAGGCAGCCTGCACGACCCTCATCGCTGAGGCTGCCATCGCTCTCCCTCTCCCTTCCTCTCTCTGAGTCCAATAAAAACATTTTTAAAAAAGAAGCAGGTCTGCCC